CCAAATCCTTGGGGAGAATATCGTCTTTAGAGGCCCTCCATAGGCCTAACTCGGGAACAGTGGCCCTCCCTGGGCTTGACTTGGGGACTGGATCCTTCCTTGGACTGGATATGGGAACTGGAGCCCTTTCTGTGCTAAACTCGGGGACTGGAGCCTTCTCTGGGCTAAACTCGGGGACTGGAGCCCTCTCTGGGCTAAACTCGGGGACTGGAACCCTCTCTGGGCTAAACTCGGGGACAGGAGCCCTCTCTGGGCTAAACTCTGGGACTGGAACCTTCTCCTCCTTCGATTCCCCTTTAGGTTCGGGGTGAAAGGCGTGGTCAGTGAGCTTGACTGAGGAACAGCTGGTGGGCTGGAGAGAGCTGCGGCCGGCGGGCTTGACGGTGGGCTGGTTCTGGCTCGGGCCCGGACACTACCCAGACACCGGTAGATCCCTTCCCTCCAGCCTAGTCCCTTGGTGTCTGGGAGGTCCATGGGGCGATGGTAGTTGGCCCCGAGTCAAAACAGAGAATTGATGGTGGCGTCATCCAATGCCATCGTCGCGGCGAGCCCGCAGAATTCCCAGGCGTACTCGAAGAAGAGGAGATCTCTGCGGGCTAAGGCGGAGAAACGAGAGGCGATTTCCATGATCGCGGGGGGGTGGGGGGAACAAGAAAACAAAAGACTTTCAAAAAATGGAAACAAAACGGGGAGAAGGGGCACCGCATACTTTCTGTTTGGGTCCGGAATTCTGTCACGTTTCGCTACTGTGAGGAGCACGGAGACGAAGGAGCGAGGAGACGAGGAGTGGAATTCAAACATATATATTTTAATGAACTTCCAGGGAACAAGGAAAACACACGTAGCAAGTGTAGACATATAAAGACACAGAACAGAGTCTGACAATTACCTTTTTTTTCATCCCATGACAGTTTTTTTTTTCAACTCCTATACTATACTCTAACTCTATGTCAACAATTGTCTTATTTATTTAAGGAGTTGTCAGTGAAACACTTAGAGTACAGTTATTTACAGTTAGAGTAAATAAAAATAAAGGACTCCAATAAGCCCTCTAAGCTACAAAAGAGCGACCTCTGAGCAATACCATTTTCCTTCAGTGTGTTTCTCCTTTGCTGATGCATTATAAGGGATGAAATGAGCAAGTGTGTGTGTGTGTGTGTGTGTGTGTGTGTGTGTGTGTTACCATTTTCCTTCAGTGTGTTTCTCCTTTGCTGATGCATTATAAGGGATGAAATGAGCAAGTGTGTGTGTGTGTGTGTGTGTGTGTGTGTGTGTGTGTGTGTGTGTTTGTATGTGTGTGTGGATGCACATATGTATGTCAATACCTGTGACAGTACTGGAGCAGGTGTGGTTATGAATGAGGGCCTGTTCTTCGAACATCATCCCCGGCTCAATGATGTGCAGCCTCTGGCCAGCCCTGGATGCCTCCAGTTTTCCCTCTGTTAACATACACACACACACACACACACACATCATCTACAGCTCTCAAGGTTGCCGGGAGTGACAGGTGTTGAGCAGCAATGTGAATGTCACATAGTCGATGATCTGACCCATCACAGATTAGGCACGGAGATGCTCAGAGCCCAAACAATCCAGAACATCAGGACAAATACCGGCCTCCTTTAATGAATCACGGCTGGAGTTAGCACAGCTCACAGACAGGTATTGATGAACACTTTAATGGATGGTAATAGACCTCGCTACTGCTTTCCATCCTTTTTTTTCCATTTGCAACCTGGGTATTTAGACTTGCACTGACATTTTAAAACTCATTTCGCCTCACATAACCAGCAGGAATGTTTTCTTTCTGTCTTCCTAGAAACAGGTCAGTCTCACACTTCTCCTGCTACCTGCCTGATCCTGCAAACACTATGGGAGGTGCATACTAATTAATGTGCCTCACTCAGACAGAGGAACAGAGTGAATTAGAGTCTGAAGTACACTTGTGATCTTAGTCAAGGTTTCTGGCACCAAATACATTTTTTATGACTATTTTACACAGACTTAACAGACTTTATTATTTTTTTGGTTACTGTATCTTTAAGAATTCTATGTGAAGTGACCTATTTGCTGCTTGTTCTTGATTTTAGCTGGACTAAAGCACTGGCAAAGTCTCATTTTTTTTTAAAATGCCATGTAAATGCTTTAGTCTAACTGAAATTGTACAATTATTGTAAAGTCAGACTGATATACAGTATATATGGATAATGAGAATGTAACTTGGCTTCATTCAGCATGTGTAAAAACAAACTAAAATGTACATGCATATATAGATACTTATGGCAACTTGTTTCAGCAACAGGATAAAAAGGTAACTGCGACTTTTTAATCTCACAATTCAGACTTTTTGTCTCATAATTCAGAATCACAATTCATAAACTCAGAATTAACTTGCAGTTCTGGGAAGGGAAGACGGAATTGTGAGATAAAAAGTCACAATTATTTTTTTTTATTCCATGGCTGAAGAAAAAATAAAGAAAAACAATATATACAGTCAATTTAGAATTCAGAGAAAAAAGTCAGACTTGCAAGGAAAAAGAAAGAAGTGTCCTTTGCTCACCATGGCTGCATTTATTTGATCAAAAACAGTAATATTGTAAAACATTATTACAATTTTACAATTTAATCCTATTTTTTTTAAACTGTTATAAAAAATTAAGTTATTCCTGTGATAGCAAAGCAGTATTTTTGCTGCTCAAGAGACATTTCTTATTATTATCGATGTTGAAAAGTTGTGCTGCTTCATATTTTGTGGAAATCATGAGATACATTTTTTCAGGATTCTTTGATGAAAGTTCAAAACAACAGCATTTATTTGAACTAGAAAGAAAAAGCATTTGCTGTCACTTTTGATCATTTTAGGATACAAGTAAAAATAAATAAATAAACCTTACTGGCCCCAAGCTTTTGAACTCCTTTAAAAAATATAAAGAAAGAATGTCTGGGTCTGGAGTTTATTTAAATTTCAGTCTGATTTTGTATTTTATCACACATTGTTTTCTCACAAACAACAGCTTTTGCAGAGAGGCTATTATTGTTAGACAGGGAAGCACAAATATATCTGAGCTAAAACCAAACCCACAACCTGTAAATGCTGTTATTCATTTTGAATGCAAAGAGGATGTTTACATAGAAGTCTTAAAAGCACAGTAGCAGAATTATTATATTATATATAAATACACACACATGCATGTATATATTTTGAAAATATTCACATGTATTTTCATGCATATTTATTTATAAATATATTTAATATACAAACAACATATTTTTCTTAAATATGTACATGCATGTGTGTGTATTTAGGCTATATATATACATAATAAATATACAGAGTTCACACACATGTATTCTGTAAACAAAAACTTTTATTTTGGAAGCGATTAATCGCGATTAATCGTTTGACAGCACTAATA